TTCTTTATAATATAACTTTCGTTTATTTTGCGTATGTACCAAAAAAATAAAAAATAAATATATTTTGATTTTTATTAAAGCATGTTTTTTATGAGGGGTACTCAGTGTTACGAAAATTATAGAAAGGGTACACATATGTCAAAAGTTTGGGAAACACTGATCTAATCTAAACTAATCTTAATGGCTACCCAGACTGCACACCTCTGATATAAATGGCTCACGTTCATGAAAATACTGAATCTGTAATTACCCTCATCCTTTCAGAGTCTATCTATGGCCGAGGGCCCATAGTATAATATTGCAAGCCGCACCCCAAGGAAACTTTGCTTATTCTGCAGTTTCAATAAACATACTTAAAGATCTGTTCTGAAACCAAATTTGCCTTTCAAGTGATAGCTACCACCTTAAACAGGTTCCCTTGCCCCCAAACCAAAGGTGTCCAAGCAGACTGTTCGGCTGGATACAGCCCTGAACACAGCCCCACAAGATCATAAAAAAATAAAGGAAGTTAGTTGTTTATATATATAAACTATATTATATATTTTAATAATTCCCTCAATACTGACTGTCAAACTATTTACTAAATCTGCATTACTATTACATCTTCTCATTTTTCCTGTCATTCACCTTTTCCCACTTATGACTGCAAATTTGTTGCTTGTATCCTTACGATTTAGTTTCCTAGTATGATTTGATTGCTTATTTGTACCCTATGACTGTCATTAAGTGTTGTACCTTATGGTTCTTAACGAATGTATTTTTTCTTTTATGTACTGAGAGCATCTGCACCAAAGACAAATTCCTTGTGTGTCCAATCACACGTGGCCAATAAAGAGTTCTCATCTCTTCTATTCTATTCCCATTCCATTAGTCTATTCTTTTCTCTTTATAAAGCCAGTCCATGACATACAATTCATTTAACAATCCTTCAAATTTACAATGGAACTGAAAAGTGTGACTAATGTCCCTTTATCACACCACCACTACAACATCCCCCCATTTGGTCATGGGATCAAGATTCAGATACTTGGCAACTGGTTGATATTTATGACGGTTGCACTGTCCCTGGGTCACATGATCACTTTTTGCAACCTTCTGACACGTAACAACTGTGTTATGAACAAGTGCAGTGATTCACTTAACAATTGTGGCAAGAAAGGTCATACAATAGGGCACAGCTCACTTAACAATTGTCTCATTTAGCAACAAAAATGTCGGACTCCATTGTGGTCAAGGACCAGCTGTAGGCCACCAAAGACAATTCTTCTTCAGACAGGTCAAAAGATTGGACACACCCGCTGTAAGTCACGCAGTAATCCACTTACAGCACTATAAAATATAAAATAAAAAGCCAAGTCTGTTGGTTCCTGGGAACTGGAAATGGGAGGCCATGCCCAAAGGGATGTTAAACTGTCATGAGTCACTCCTGCCCAGGGACAACACCTAGTTGTGGCATCTTGGCTGCCCTTGAAATGTGTCCAGAGAAGGAAGTGAATAAGGAAGGATGGGGCCAACCCTAACCTCTAATTTTAGATCTAGAACGAGCTTAAGATGTCACTGAGTCATCTCTAAATCAGCTTCCAGTCTAACAAATTACCTTGCATTTGTCCCCAGGGTGAACGGACAAGGGCTGTGCTATATTAAGCCAGGAGGCTTAGCACACAGCAAACAAATTAGGGATGCCTGTGGGTTGAGTTGGGTTCGGGAGGTCACAGACATGGAAGCTCCAGATTCCCCAGGAGGAGGAGACCTCCGTGGGATGGATTTGTAGTACTTTGTATATCAGTGACAGTCTGGGTGGAACAATTGTACAAATTCAAACAAACAATGCTGGGAAGACCTGAGGCCTCGAAGGGAAGAATCTCAGTACTAGGAGCAACTATAGCCAAAGCTATGTAGCACACCCAAGCAATAATTTTCTTCGACTTTTGTTCCATCTTGTGCCAATATCCATCATTGGACATTGGCGATCATGTTGGCGATCCTATTTTTATCAGCACAAAAAAGGGCTGCTGAGTTTTGCCCAAACCAATCCCTTAGATTCTGAAGCCACGTCTTCTGTTTTTTTGCCTGGAGGATTATATGAAGAATGCCGTATTTTTCTGGGTGTCGCATCACATGTCCAAAATATTCTTTCGCTTTTTTAATGGTTTCTTCGACTGCTGCTCCACAATTACCACACTGAAAATACCTCTCAATATGGAGTCTGCATATAACCATTAGTAGACGTGTCCTCCAAGTTTTTGTCTAACTTGGAGGTGGGCAACTATGGTAACTTTACAGCTTGTGGACTTAAACGCCCAGAATTCCTGAGCCAGCATGGAATTGGAAGTCCATAGGTTGTAAAGTTTCCGTAACTGCCCACCTTCAATCTAACTAAACTCTGTTTTCAGGAATTGAAGTCCAACGCAACTGGAGAGCACATGGTTGAGGAAGGACAATCTATTCATCCTTTTGTATGCCTACCTTTAGAACATGGAGAAATGACTGCATTCAAATACCAATTTTATTTTATTTTATTATATTCAAACACGGTAAATTTAAATTCCCTGTTCTTTAAAACAATGGCAGCTGTGCTGCTAAATAAACAAGTACAATATAGAGACTTCTTTGGAAAAAAAAATACTCATGCGATATTGCACATTTAAGTTTCTCTGCATTTTTCTTCTGGTATTTGTTGGCAATGCAGCCATATAGAAAATACTTCTGTTATGTACAGGTATTTATGGAGTGAGGTGGGGGAGTCCCCGGACCAGGATAAATGGAGGGGAAAAAAAGTGGGGAATTGGAGGAGGGGGGCATGGCAGAAAAGGAAGGGATTATTTATTTTGGCAAAGGAATCTTGGCTCATGATAGCGCAGGAAAAACACACACATAGACACAAACAGGATTTTCGGGGGAGTACTTTGGACCCGTTTTTCTCTTGGAATTACTTCTAGCCCTCAGTTTCACTTTGAAGTACTTCTAGCCCTCAGTTTTAACATTGAAAGTATTGGATTGCATGCGTGCAAGGAAGCAAAATATGGGACAGCCACTAAGCTGGAACTCCAGATTTCTTCTGGGTGACAAATGGTGCCCAGGGAGCTAGAAAATGAAAGGTCAAGGAGGCACAGCTGCCGGAGGAACAGGAGTGAAGGCTGGCAATTCATGTCACCGTGTCAAGTGTGGTTTTTGGCTATGGCCTCTCTTATTGGCTTTAAACCTCACGGTGATAGTGCCAGCCTCATCACCAGGCTGGGTGTTGGCAGAAGGCTACGGTCCAAATGGCGGAAGGAAAGAAGGAAGGAAAGAAGAGGCAGGTTTCCTTTGGCCTGAGTTAGGCAAGAAAGCCCAGGTACAAATTCTGAAAAATCTACCTGACTTTTATAGACATTCAAAGACCAGAGAGGGGACAACCCAATATTTGCACCTGAGTGTTAAGATGCAAAGAGAAAGGAGCAGAACCTCCTCAGCGTTGCTGCTTCTCACACTCAACCACTGATACTCATTGTCATCCTCACAAGTTAATCAGGCACAACTTTCCAGCCACCGCTGATGAATGGCCAAGAGATCTCTCATGGCTCTGGGCTGGCTGAGACTGCTACAATCCAACTGCTCACTTCTTTTAGCTTGCAAAGACCAGATGACACCTTCCACCCAATCCCTTAATGCCTACCAGGATGGCTAGCCAGGATGGTGGTGATGGAAGAACGCTGGGGATCTGAAATATTTCTTCCAACCAATGGCGTGGCCGCTACTGGGTAACCTTGCTCTTGGGGCTGCCAAGTTTAACCGTAAGGGACACGCTAACGACCTAGTTGTCAAGAAGGCCTGTTAATCACATTTCCCCACAGCAAGAATGGTGGCCACCCCCACTCCTATGGGTCCCCAGAAAGACTGTTCCCTATCATCCCTACGACCCTTGTTCCCTGGAGGAAAAGCAACAAAGCAAAGAGCATCACTGAAGGAAGCCACAAAATAAATACTGTCTCTGGGAAGGGCTGGGAAAGGAGAAGCGGGGCGTCAAGACAAACCTCTGGGGGGAAAACAATAGTTGGTGGTGCCTATTTGGCCGAGCCTGGGAAAAAGCCCACCTTTGGAGTGTCTGGGTGATGGGTGGGAGGTGAGCACCCCTATCCTCATCTATTTCTCCTGTCCCTGATCAGGATCTCGGTACACGTGGTGGTGGGGTGTGCGGAGGAAGGTCCCTGCTCTTCACAGAGAAACCGGGGGACGGGGAATGGGGGACAGTGACAGCAGCCGGTGGTCACTTGGAGAGCTTGCTGATCACACGGATAAGAGCGGCGTTTTCGTCTTTCAGACGCTGGTTGTCGGCCTTCAAATCTGAAAGAGCCTGTGAGGGGAGAGGCAGACACAGAAGTCAAACTCCAAAGGCACCTCTTTCGGTTACAGGTAGTCCTCGACTTACAACCATTCTTTTATAAACACTGATTGAAGTTACGACAGCCCTGAAATAAGTGATTTATAACCGCTTTTCACACCTACGACCACGGCAGCATCCCTATGGTCACGTGATCAAAATCTGAATGCTTGGCAACTGGGCTGTATTTATGACAGTTACGGTAATGTGGGGTCACTATTACAATTAATCTTCTCATTGTTCCTATCACACATCTCCTCCCACTTATGACTGTAACTTTCTTGCTTGTATCCTTATGGCTAATAGTTTCCTAGTATGATTTGATTGCTTATTTGTACCCTATGACTATCATTAAGTGTTGTACTTTATGATTCTTGACAAATGTATCTTTTCTTGTATATACAATGAGATCATATGCACCAAAGACAAATTCCTTGTGTGTCCAATCACACTTGGCCAATAAATAATTCTATTCTATTCCTGTTTTGCGAACTTCTGACAAGCAAAGTCAATAGGGAAGCCACTTAACGACCCTGGTACTAACTTAACAACTGAAGTGATTCACTTAGCGGTGGCAACTTAACCATGGTCCTCTTTAGCAACAGAAATCTGGGGCTCAATTGTGGTTGTAAGCCAAGGACTAACTGTATTGCAAATCTATTTCCTCCCTGCCCTCTCCTCCTCCTCCTCCCTTGCTCCCAGCCAGGCTACCATTCAGCCAGTGCAGAGGCTCCCTCAACAAGAGAGAAATTACCTTCAGTTCCTCCTCCAGCTCAGCAGCTTTCCTTTCCAAAGCTCGACGCTCCTGGTTTGGGACAGGTGGTACAAAGAGATGGTAAGAGTGGATGCAGAAAAGGAATCATAAGCATGCATTTATGCTGAGTGGGGAGAAATCAACCTCTATAGAATAAAACTGGATTAAGTTGAATGTTATGCAGTTTAGAATTCCTACAGGCCATATATAGGTAAAGGTAAAGGTTCCCCTCACACGTATGTGCTAGTCGTTCCTGACTCTAGGGGGTGGTGCTCATCTCCGTTTCAAAGCCGAAGAGCCAGTGCTGTCCAAAGGCATCTCTGTGGTCATGTGGCCGGCATGACTCAACGCTGAAGGCACACAGAAGATGTTGCCTTCCCACCAAAAGTGGTTCCTATTTTTTCTACTTGCATTTTTACATGCCTTTGAACTGCTAGGTTGGCAGAAGCTGGGACAAGTAATGGGAGCTCACTCCGCGGTGCTAGGGATTCGAACTGCCGACCTTTCTGATCAACAAGCTCAGTGTCTTAGCCACTGAGCCACTCCGTTCCTATACAGGCCATATATACTGGTCATTTTTTTGTAACACAGGCGATATCCATGAACTCCTCTCCTTCCTCTAGGGGAGATACAAAAAGCAATAGCATTTAGACTTATATACTACTTCACAGTGCTTTTTCAGCCCTCTTTAAGCGGTTTATAGAGTCAGCATATTTGGTCCCAACAATCTGGGTCCTCACTTTACCGACCTCGAAAGGGTGGAAAGCTGAGTCAACCTTGAGCCTGGTGAGATTTCGACTGCAAAATTGCAGGCTGCCAGCAATCCGCAGTAGTAGCCTGCAGTACTGAACTCTAACCACTGCCCCACCTCGGCTCTGATAATAATTTAGATTAGATAATCTCTAATAATCTAGATTAAAAGTGTACATGTTTGCCTTGAAATCCCAGCCCTTAGTAAAGGGTGTAAAAATGCCCTGTCAGTCACTGTTCTCTCCTCAACAGCCTCACTGACAGGCTTATCCCAAAAGTGGCATCACCTGTTTGATAGATCAGTTTTGGCAATGCAGGAGAGGGGAAGGAATAGGCAGGGAGGAACAAATACTTACAAATCTCTCTAGTTCTAGGAGAGCCGGCCGTTCAGCAAAACGCTCCTGTCTCTGGCAAGGAAAAGACAACACAAAAAAGATTCAAAATAATTTCTGTGCTTATTTCTTTTTAACATTTATAACCCTCCCCCCCTTTGCAGCTCTGAAGACAGGATATGACTGATAAAACAAGCCGTACAATACACAACCTAGAGAAGACAGGAACACAAACCTGAGGGACAGAAGTAGTTTATCATTTGGGGAGGGTATCCTAAAGATTGTGGGTGGGGGGGGGGCATCACAGAAAATCCAGAAATGCATCTCATCTGAAGATCACACTCTACAAGCAAGTTCATGGATGGAAAGATTGGATCAACGTCACATGGACTAGAAGGAGGGCTATTTTTGGCAAACTATCTTACACCTATCAATTCAGTCACTTTCTTAAGATAGCCACAGGTGAACCTGAACTGCAAATACTGGGAGAAACAGCAGCCAATCCAAGATCACTTAGCACAATAGGTTGTGTGGTTTTTTTTTTTTAAAAATGTTCCAGATTAATTGGAAAGATAGTAATCTAAAGCAAATGTACACTATTTTGTTTACCTGTTAACTTTGCTGACCTTTTATTCTGGAGATCAAGGAATGTGAGGGTATGTGGGAAAGATGAAAGGGCGGAGAAATGCTGCCTAGAGAATAGTCAGATAAGAGGGGGCATAGCCCACCACTGTAGAGTGGGCAAGGCAAGAAGCTCAACAGGGATCCTCCCTAAATTACTGAAGGTGATGGCAGGGGAATTATATTCTCAGACTTGCAAAGATTCTGTAAACACAGATTTACAATAAAACAGAATTAGATTATATAGGATGTTTCCTTTCTGGGCTACCTTATGAGGCTGGCAAGGAGGCATATGTGGTGCTCCATCTTCCTATTTTCACCAACAACAACCCTGAGAGGTAGGAAGCAAGAGATCACGAGTTCAAATCTTAGCCATGAAAGTCAGCTGGATGACCTTGGACCAGTCACTCTCTCTTAAGTCTAACTCACTTTACAGAGTTATTGTTGTGGGGAAAATAGGAGGAAGATGTGTTGTGTGTGTTCGCTGCTTTGAGTTACTTGTAAAACTAATAAAGGTAGGATATAAATAAAATAAATAACTGGCCCAGATACCTAGAGAACTTCTGTTGCGTAGAGTGGACCTGAATATCCCTACTCCTGATCTTAGACTTTAAGCACATCAGCCCCATATTCTCTATCCACAATAATAATAAAGTAGATTTTGGCTCTATGTTCTCTCCAATCTTCATCAGAGTTGCATGCTGATGCTCTCAGTCCCAATGTGACTCTTCAGTCCTCCCCCCTCCCCCCTCCAGCTCTCCCATGAAGAGCCTGCCCTGCCCTATCCTGCCCTGCCTGGTACCTGGGTCACTCTTTCCAGCTCCAGCTTAATCTGCGTGAGTTGGAGCTGCGCCTCCTGCAACTGTTCCTTCAGCTTTTCATTCTCAATCAAGAGATCTTCATACAGCTTAGAGACACACGTGGGGGGAAAAAAGAAAAATGAAGGAGGCAATGAGAAAGATAAACAAGTGCAGGATACATCAGCATTCCTTTGCCTGCCTTGTGAGTGCAAATAAAAACCCCTTCCCCAAGCACTAACTTTCTTGTAATAGTTGTCTGGTTCTTCTCTGCAGCCCGACAGCGTGCTGTTCCCTCTCTGGCCGCCAGGAGGTGCTGTTCGATTTGGCAGAAGGCTGTTTAAGTGATCACTGAAAAGAAGCAGCAGAGGGAGGTAGTCAGCACTGCCCTCCGCTGGCTCCTTTGCACGGCGCAAAACTCAGAGAGGTACAATATTGACTTGGAGAAAGAGACTGAAAAGGGAAACAAGAAGTCTAGAGATGCTTTAACAAAAGGACAACAAAATATGCCTGCTTTGTGTGTTCATGCAGAAATGGGTTTCTTCTACCTTCGGAGAAGGGTGCTGAGATTGTAGTCGACAACAAACTTAACATTTCTGGAATAAAACAAACTTCAGGAGGTGACAAAATGGAAAAGGCATTTTGGGGGTGGGTGATGGGGAGAGATTCAAGAGAGAAATTAAGTGTTTTCACCCTCTCTCTAAACTCACCCAGGTATACAACATGGGTCAAGCATTTCGGCCTCTGAGGGAGCTGCACCCTCTCCATGGCTACATGGCTACCTACCTGCGATCAGAGTTTCTGGAAATTTAGCCATGGTAGCTTGTTTGAAATGTTTCACTGCTTCTCCAGGTCCCTTCTTCAGTTTGCAGTCTACTTGGATAAGCAGCGAAATGTTGCCCACAGACAATTAAAGAAGCTCAGTCGTCATGACTCAACTTCCAGGAAATTTATCTGGGTGGCTGAGAACCTTTATTGACATAGCAATCAGACATCGTAATCAGAGTTTGTTGCTCCCCTTGGTTTTAAGACCCTACAGGGCAACAAAGGTGAATCTTTGACAGGTGGGTCACGGGTCACACGCCATGTCTATTTTGGTGACATGCTAGGTCTTTAGACCCTCTGGAAGTTGTGCAAGAGGGCCTTGCTCTCAGGTGGCCTCTGAAAAGCATGCGAGAATGGGGTGTCATTTCCCATGCTTTTTGGCTACACAAGAGCCTTTTCTGAAGTTTCCAGGCCTCATGCAATCCAGTGTTCCTCTGGATAGGCATTTCGAAAAATATTTATCATTACAGCATGTATGCATTTATTTACTAAATAATAAATGTAAATAATTTATTACTTCTTATGAATTGTTTCTCTTTTGTTCAGGTGTATATTTGTGAGAGAGAGGGGAGAGGTGGGGGGGGAAGAGGGAGAGAGAGGGTGGGACAGACGGACATGCCAGCAAAGTCGCTACAGGCATTTTCTGAATTTTTGACATTCTGAGACCAAAAGGTTTGACATCACTGCTACTGGGGAATTTACCTGCTATGCATGGATGGGTCTTCATTGAGGGGTTGTTCAGTGTCTTCATCTTCTTCCCCCTAAAAAAAGAAGAAGAAAAAATGCAGTTCACAGGCCCTCAAGAGGATCCACATAGTAAACGTGGGTGCACATAAAAGGCATCCCCCACTGTAACCTCCTATCCATAGTCTGAACTCCACCCTTCTCCAGTGCATCAGGTCGCCGTCCTGGGACCTTCTCGCTCACCTCTGAGTTTCCTCCCAGACCAGTGATGCGCCTCTCTCGCCGGCCTTTCCTGCGGTCTCGAATAGCCAGCCTGTTCCGAAGGTCTGTATCCAACTCAGAGCCAGCCTTATCAACTTCTGTTCCTGCAGTTTAAAACAAGACAGGCAGCTGAGTTTGGGCTGCCGACCTCCCAAGTTCAACAACACAGCTTGGGGGAGACGAAAGCTTTAAAGCCTCCTGGAGATGGCACTGTGCAAACACAGGGAGAGAATGAGATCAGTCGGGGTCGAAGGAGCTAAAGGCACACTGAAACACGTCAAGCAAGCAAACTGAAAACGAAGGCGGAAAAGAAAGAAGGAAAATATTCACCTGAATACAAGGGTTACCTTTTTGGAGCTGCGAATTCACCACTAACGGATTCACAGTAGAAACTGAAGAACTGTCTGAACTGAGGAGCCGGAATCGCCTAGCGGAGTCCTGAATGAGGTGTTGGAGAAAGAAGTTAGGGAAAATAAGAAGGAACTCCAATTACAAACATGCTTTGCTCTGGATCAAGACAACAGGGCCACATTTTGTAGAGGGCCAAACTAAAGCTTTGGGATGACTGAAAAGGGTTGCGTGATGAGTGCCACTATTGTACTCCACAGGACGTGGCAAAATACATCACATCCTCAATTCAATCCAATGCTAGCAGAGACGCACAAGGGAAGCTACATTTTGTGAATGCCAGGAGTCCCCTCCCTCTCCATCCCATCCCAAAGGGTTACTGTATTTTTCAGAGTGTAAGACACATCTTTTTCCCTCAAAAAGAGAGGATGAAAATCTGGGCGCGTTTTATACATTGAATACAGCATTTTTGGCCTCCCAAAACCCCGTCCCCTTTGCAAAAACGGCCATGCGTAGCCTTTAGGGGGTTTCCAGAGTGCTTCTGGGGGCTGGGGAGGGCAAAAATGAGCGAAAAACAGGCTGGTTTTTGCTCAGTTTTGCCCCCAGCCCCCAGGAGCACTCTGGAAGCCTCCTAAAGGCTATGCATGCCCTTTTTTGACAAAAAATAGGCTGTTTTTGGGAGGTCTGTAGAGTGCAAAAACTTTTTTAAAAAAATTTGCCTCTTCAAAATTTTGGTGCATCTTATACTCTGGTGCATCTTATACTCCGAAAAATACGGTAAGAGTCCTACAGAGCCTGGCAATGGCAACTTCCTTCTTCTTTTTAGAGGCTCTTTGCAAGGATCTGTATCCCAAGCAGCAGGCTAAATGCATAATCCTGTCTTGGAACAGGCCAAATCTCTTCACTGATTCATTTATCATTAGATCAGGTTATCTCCTGCCCAGGACTTTTTACCATGCTGGAGGGGCCGGACTGCAACCCATCCACCCCAACGGATCCCTACCGTGGTCTCCTGAGATTGCTGTTCCCCATCTTTGTCCCGCTTTTCATCCTCCTTGTTCCTCTGCTCTGAAGGAGTTTTGGAATCACTGGTCCAGACCATGGTCTTCTCAGCCTCCTTTAGGTCCGTAAGGGTTACTCCCTAAAAGGAGGGCACGGGGGAGGCAAAAGAAAAAGGGAGGGGTGGAACATGGGGAGGGAGGAGAGGGAGAGAGAAAAGGGAAAGTGCATCCATCAGAAAAATACCATGCCCTTCGGAAGAGGCTGATGGGACGGTGGCCAATGGACAGCACAACTCTTTGTGAGGCTTCAAGTTAGGTCAAGAAAGCAGGGCCTGAATTGGTGCCACTTATTGGTAGCATCACCTTCAAGCTTCAGCCAGGTTCTTCTGCCCTAAGTCTCACCTGTGTGGAACGCCTGGATTGTCTCATGAGCCTAGAACGGGCCTTTCTTTGGGATTCAGACTCTTCGTCTCTCACTGGCATCTGGTATGACCTAGCAGGAAGACCCTGGTGGTTAGGCATCACATACAGTTTCCCCTCATACTTTCTACAGCTTCGAGGGCCCCCCCCGTCAGCTCCTGCCAAGCCTCGTAGAGCTGCTGCATTGGCGGGACCTCTGGACAGGAGGGAAAGGACGCTCTGTGTACATTCTGCAAGTATTAGTTGCCTTTTGGTTTCTGCTTGGCTTCCTCCACTTCTCCTGGCCAAAAAAAACCAACGCCTTCCATTTTGCCAAGTAAACCAGTTAGCCGGCCCAGAGAGATGGAATGAAATGTAACAGGTGGAGAGGGAATAGGTGTCTGGCCAAAACACTCTCCCAACTGACGCCATGAACCAGACACCTGAGCACCAGTGCCGAAAGTTAATAAAAATACAAGCCACTCACAGAAATTTAAGGCACAGAGGATCAGGATAGTAACTGCACCAACAGAGATCAGCCCGTTTTGACTTTCAGGGTCACCCATCTATCATGGCCCTAAGAGCTCTCTGCACTGCCTGCCCCTGGCCCACCTTCGGTGGTCCCAGGGATCCATGCTAGAGCTGATGGTAGTGGAAGAGGGGGGCTGGTGTGGGGCAGGGGCTGTATCTATCTTCATCTGAAGGCCCATCTTCTAAGTTTTCTGCGGGCAGTGAGCAAGAAGACAGAAAGAGAAAAAGAGAAGGAGGGAGGGAGAGGAGAGAGACAGACAGACAGACAGACAGAGACAGAGAGAGAGAGAGAGAGAAAACGAACACGCAAGAGAATATTTAGAGGGGCCTCCTTGACGTCTGTGAGGTTTCACGACACCAACCCATTGCTCTCTGAAATTCAGGCTAGTGGTCCCTTGGAGGCTCTTGTTTGCATTAATTCTGAGGCAATGTTTCCCCCTCCCCTTGCCATGTCAGCAAAAATACCTAACAAACTTTCTGGCTCCTTTTTCTTCTCCAAAGGCAGGACAGGTATTGAAAGGTTTTAAACTGCAAACACTAAAAAGGAAACTGATATAGTACCTTACTTGAAATTGATACGGGTGCTCTTAAAAGACGGAATAAATTAACTGAAATTGTAACGCTCACTGGAAAGCAAAACAGCTTCACTTTCCCAAATATTTCTATCTTTCAGTGATACCATTCTCTAAAGGTAAAGGTTCCCCTCCCACATATGTGCTAGTCATTCCTGACTCTAGGGGGTGGTGCTCATCTCTGTTTCAAAGCCGAAGAGCCAGCGCTGTCCGAAGACGTCTCTGTGGTCATGTGGCTGGCATGACTAAACCCCCAAAGGCACACAGAATGCTGTTACTTTCCCACCAAAGGTGGTTCCTATTTTTCTACTTGCATTTACATGCTTTCAAACTGCTAGGTTGGCAGAAGCTGGGACAAGTAACGGGAACTCACTCCATTAGGCAGCGGTAGGGATTCGAACTTTCTTTCTGATCGACAAGCTCAACGTCTTAGCCACTGAGCCACCGCGTCCATTCTCTACTCAGAAACTAAAAGTATCCCATTCTATCCTAATGCTTAGAAGCCCAGGAGCAAATCTTCCTTCAAACTCGCAGTAGCTGTAGCTAATATGGTCAACAACTGGCGATACTTGGGAGTAGAAAACCTAACATCTGGAGGATCAAAGATCTCCTAACTCATTTTTACTTAGTGGGTTTCACCACTCAAGAATATCAAGAGATCCACCCTCACTAGGGAAGGAGGAAGAGGCGAGTATCCACCCTGCCTGGGAAAAGCCAACCGTTCCTTTCTGGCTATCCAGTTTCATGTCTGGACAAGATCCCAATCTAGGCCTCTCAAGCTATTTTAGTTTATTCATGGTAGATTACTCACGTGCGCCGGGGATCTCGGTGGGGTTCTGTGTCTGGGAGGGCAAAGATCCGGCGAGTGGGAGTTGGGATTACTCGTGCCAGGCGTGGCTCTTTGTTCTGTAAAAGAAGATGGAAAAAGGAAAGAAAGTATAGATGATGATTGACAGCTGTTTCACTGTGACCTTCTATTCGGACTAGGAGTGGGGGGGGGGTAGCTGCTCGGAGGCTAGGTGGAGATTCAGGAGGGGCCCACTAAAGCGAACTCTGCGTTTCTGTAACAGGGAGGGCACGGATATCTCTCCCTTAATGCTAGTGAACTGCTCTACCAAGGATGAAGGAGAAAGGACACAAAAAGCTTCAACACTGCCTCTCTTACAAGGGTGGCTGTGGCCCAGACAGAAGAGGGGGGGGGGGGGAAATGTTAAAAGAGTGGGGAAAAGAGCAAAGGTGAAAGGAAAACTGAAACAAAAGGATCTCCAGTAGAATCCTGGACCGTAAGTGATACCCACCAGAGGTTGCTGGTGCCCATTTCCCTTTCTACGTCCACGGATCGCACGCTAAGGACCTCCGCCCCACCCACCCACCCACGCTTGACCCTCCCCTGCCCAAAGCAAGCAAAGCTAGCAAGGAAGGTATCCAGCCGCCCACTCTGATGGGTAGAGGCTCCTACCGGGTCACCAGCTGGCTCAGAAGCTGTGTTCCTATTGGCTAACCATGGGCCAATGGGATTCTTGCTCCACTTCTTCAAGAGCTCTTGGATGTCTTGCTGCAGATAATACAGGCAATGACAGGATCGGGAGGGAGAGGGAGGGAAAGAGAAAGAAAAGAAAAAAGAGGGCACAGCAGAGACATACTGGTGGCGAAATCCGTGTCCTTGAAACCCCATGCTGAAAATCCACCCCGCTGGTAGGGAAACAAACCCAGGCTAGAGCACACCGACAGGGCTAAAAGCTGCTAGATCTGAGGTTGGAAAGAAGGGAGTAAGTAGAAGAAAAAGAAAAATAAAGTGTTCGGCTTTTGACCAAAAAAAAAAAGTGCTAAGCACAAAAATGAGTTTCTTCTTCCTCAACAACCACGGTTCTGGCTTTGTTTGCATCATGGGGGGAAAAACCCCACGCCGTAAATATGATCTACACCTGCCCCAAGACTTCAGAAGTAATAAGACCGGCTCTTGAAAACTTTGGGCAGCAATATTTGGCACGTTCTCAAAGCAGTTCATAGTTCACAAAGAGAAGTGGGCAAAGTATGGTGTGGCGGAATTTCCCCATCCTAAAATAACCCATTCTGACCTTAGAACAGGTGAATCCAACTCTTCCGAACCTGATCCATTTTAATCTAAGCCAGTATTTCTCAACCTTGGCAACTTTAAGTCCTGTGGACCTCAACTCCCAGAATCCCCCAGCCAGCTGGCTGGGGGATTCTGGGAGTTGAAGTCCACAGGACTTAAAGTTGCCAAGGTTGAGAAACACTGATCTAAGCCAAGACGAGGGCAGCCATTTTACATCTGGGGGCCCCTAAAACTGGATATTTTCACTAGAAAAGAAGGGCGATTTTCCAGCCCTTTCTACGAGTCTGTCAGAGGTTTAACTACACGTATTTTGTTTGGAGGTTGTTTTTTTTTTTTTTTAATGTACCTAGCCGTTCTTTGGTCAGCCATTAAGAAGACTCTAGGTGCCACACTCGGCAACTTTAAGACTTGTGGATTGCAACTCTCAGAATTCCCCAGCCAGCATGTTGAAGTCCACCAGTCTTAAAATTGCCAAGGTTGGAGACTTTCTGCTCTAGAAGGCTGATTATCTAGTCAACATCATCTCTTGTAAATTGCAAAAGCTTTCCGAACATCAGAAACTCCTGCTCCTCAAACTTTAAAAAAAATACAAGGTAGTCCTCAACTTATGAGCACTAAGGAAAAGGTAATGGTTCCCCTCGCACATATGTGCTAGTCGTTCCCGACTCTAGGGGGCGGTGCGGATCTCCGTTTCAAAGGCGAAGAGCCAGCGCTGTCCGAAGACGTCTCCATGGTCATGTGGCCAGCATGATTAAACGCCGAAGGCACACAGAACGCTGTTACCTTCCCACCAAAGGTGGTCCCTATTTTTCTACTTGCATTTTTTAAGTGCTTTCAAACTGCTAGGTTGGCAGAAGCTGGGACAAGTAACAGGAGCTCACTCCATTACGCAGCGCTAGGGATTCGACCCGCTGAACTGCCGATCTTGCTGATTGACAATCTCAGCATCTTAGCCACTGAGCCACCATGTCCCTTATGAGCACTACTGAGCCCAAAATGTATGTTTCTAAGTCACAAAGTTGTTAAGTGAGTTTTGTCCCGTTTTATGACCTTTTTTCCCACAGGTACAGCACATGTCTTGCTTGTGAGCAGTAATTGGCATTTCTCCTACAGGTAATCTTCGACTTAAAGCAGTTTGTTTAGTGACCGTTACAATGGAACTGAAAACAGTGACATACGACCTTTTTTCACACTTATGACCATTGCAACACCCCCACGGTCACATCAAAACTGAAACACTTGGCAACTGACTCATATTTATGACGGTTGCAGTGCCCCGGGGTCACGTGATCACTTTTTGTGACCTTCTGACAAGCAAAGTCAATGGGGAAGCCAAATGCACTGTATTACTAACTTAACAACTGCAGTGATGCACTTAACAACGGTGGCTTGAGAGGTTGTAAAATGGGGGAAAACTCACTTAACACACATTTCACTTAGCAACAGAAATTTTGGGCTGTAGTGTGGTCCTAAGTCGAGGACTACCTGTATATGTCATTAGATATGAAAGTGCTCTACCCTGGAGGACCAAGAGACTCCCCACTCCTCCTCCTGAGGGATCTCAACATCTCTCCAATTGCTGCTCATGGGTTTTCAATCATGAAAGACAGAAGGTCATTCTACCAAAAAATGGTAGAAGATGACAAACCAGAAAGTACCTGATGTTCCTATTACTGTATTTTTTGGAGTATAAGACGCACCTTTTTACCCCCCAAAAGAGGGTGAAAATCTGGGTGTGTCTTTTACACTGAATACAGCATTTTTGGCCTCCCGATACCCTGCCCCCTTCACAAAAATGAATATGCAGAAAGTTTGGGAGGCCTGCAAAATGGGGTGGTTTTTTTCTCGTTTTTGCCCTCCCCTCCAGCCCCCAGAAGCACTCCACAAGCCGCCTACAGGCTATGTATACCCCCTTTTTTTGGCAAAAAACAGGCCGTTTTTTCACACACACCCCAGCACCAATTTGCAGGCCTCTCAAACTCTCTGCATGTCCCATTTTTCACAAAAAATGAGGCGTGCAGAAGGTTGGGGAGGTCTGCAGAGTGCAAAAACTTTTTTAAAAAAAATGTACCTCTTCAAAATCTTGGTACTTCTTATACTCCGAAAAATACGGTACATACACAACAAAAGTCATTTCGAAGTGGCCGGCTTGCATACCATTCAACCTAGGCTCTCCAAAAGTCTACATCTCTTGCCTGAAAATTAAGATCATTTCCTACTGCCTTACTCTGCAATACTTCCTTCTTCAGAGGTACCTCCATTATGAAATACTTTCTTTAAATATTACTCAGCTGATATTGCCTAGAATTACGAGATAAAATCTAGAGCTATTTCAGCTTTTCATCTGGTACTGCGGGCTCATTTAGACCTCATTTATGAGTCTCCTTTGATCTTGCCTCCTTTTTAAATTGTAAATCAAATTTCACCCAGCCTTCGATCTTTGTGAAGTAAAATGAGGACCCAGATTGTTGGGAGGAAGATCCTGACTCTGTAAACCTTTTAGAGAATGTTGCAAAGCACTATGAAGCAGTATGTAAGTCTAAGTGCTATTGCTATTTGTTTAAGGAGATCAATCAATCAGAATAAAGCTGGAAGGAACCTTGACGGTCTTCTATTCCAGTGTTTCTCAACCTTGGCAACTTGAAGATGTCCGGACTTCAACTCCCAGAATTCCCCAGCCAGCATTCGCTGGCTGGGGAATTCTGGGAGTTGACGTCCGGACATCTTCAAGTTGCCAAGGTTGAGAAACACTGTCATAGGAGGCCTGTAAAACCGGTGGAAAAAAGACATCCTAACATTCATCTACATCAGTAGAAAAATTCTTCTTGGTTGGACGGTCCTCATATGAGCCAAGGTGGCGCAGTGGTTAAATGCAGCACTGCAGTCTACTTCAGCTGACTGCAGTTCAGCAGTTAGGCGGTTCAAATCTCCCCGGCTCA